CACTGGGGCTGCCTGGGGGGCAGAGCCTTGTTCGGGGTCGTAGGCAGGAGGAAGGGTGAAGGGCTCCTCCTTGGGGGCATTAGGATCATCAGATTCACACACGTGAAGGGGAGTCGCGGTTGTAGCAGTATCCATAGGCAACAGCAATGTACCGCCACAAGGGAACAACGTCAACTGAGGGAACAGTCTCTGCGACCACTGCTGGTCAGACACTCTAAAGAGGCCGACTAGGATGGGCCCGTCACAGCTGGGCTGGGCCGAGACTAATTTACGCCCCGGCCGTAGGTCAACTAGCAAGGGACAACCTCAGCTTGACAAGAGGGAGAGAACCCTCACTGCGACATGGGAAATCCCTATTGGGAATGACGCATCGGTCGTGGTTGCGCACTTGCAGGGATCGATTAGAATGACGCGCGCTATATTCCACGCAAGATGGGCAAGAGTCATCCTTGCGAGATTCTCAGTAACGTTGAGGAGATGTTCATGGTTTCGGACGGGTACGACGCCGAGGAGACCCACTGCGCCCAAAGCGACTTAGTCCACCCGCCCATCTGCAATACAACGTACGTTATTGGTCTTAGAGGGGAAGGCTGCCGTATGAACACATGTCGTGATGATTGCTACTATGGGAGAATAGTCTTGGAAGGTGTCGAAAGGCATCCCAGCGGCTTAGTACTTTGTGGAGGCAGGCGATTATTACGTCGAGAGTTGCCACGTTGATTTCATGTTAATGTTTTTCATACAGTCCTGGGGGTCGGGTTTCTCGTGTGGCGGAGTAATACAAGAGTAGGACATGGGAAGGCCTCCACCGAGCAATACCCCTCGTGAGGGTCTTTCGGGAATAGGGCGTGGTGTGGTACTCCTGAATGACGTATACGAGGCAATATGTTGTCGCTTGTGGGAATTGAACCCGGGACCTCCTAGAGTGTTGTTCACTGCGATGATAATACTCTCTCGACGACTGTGTAAGGCGGCATTCTCTGGCAAGCTCATCCGGTGGACCCCAGCTGACAGGGGGCATCTCTTACGTGGTCTTGGCCGTATTCGACCTTCTCGTAAAATGATGGAGACGAAAAATAGATTCCAAATATGCGATGAAATCGGTGAGTTTTTAAGGGAAAACACCAATTAGGATCATCATGCAGATACTAAGGAGTTGGCGAAAGTGATTGAGAACTGTCTCAAGGCGGAACCGGAAGAGATCGTTGTTATTCAAACTGTAGCAACTTCACCGAGGAACGGTAGACTTGCATTTGGTGCTTGTTTTTCTAGTCGAACCCATCGTCGTTGAATCGGGCAGTCCGAGCGACGGCGATGGTCAGTCAGATGGAAAGGCTCCTACCTTTAGTGCTGCGCTTTACAGGGCCACCGACTGATGGTGACACTATAAGTTGTCGGTGGGTGTCACCACCTATGGTTAGGTGAGGACATATGGGTGAGCATGGCTACCGAGTGCATACCCGAAGGAGATGTGAGTGAGATGAAGTCATTACATGTATCTACTAAGAGTAGCGTATCGGCCTTGGCCGTCGCTATCACTAATATTGTACACAATGGGGAAGTGGCTAGGCTAGTCGGTAGTACTGTCGAGTCTCCAAGGAGAGCGATGTATGGTGCCTCAGGGATAGGCCCGGAGAACGTATACAAAATGGCAAAGGCTATTGCTATTGCGGCTAACCATTGTGAGGCACATTATAGTTATGATGATCATGTTCAGTAAGGTTCGAATCCAGCGATTGGCCCCGTGGGTGAACTCCTGTGTCGGGCAAGCACTGTAGTGTTGGACCCTACGACTAACGCTTTACCGACACAGCGTAACGAGGGGGAGGTGCTTTCTGATGAGTTGACGACTTTGTTTTTAGGGGGTGGGAAGCCGTTTTGGGGTGTGGAAATTGTGGTACGAATACAATTGAAACGAAAGAAAAAAGTGCCACTGTGACATGCTATGTTTCTAGGGTAGTAGATGGCGATCAGCGTTGGATGTAAATGACAATCTCGCTCGCCCGAAAATAATTTGGCAGTTGCGATAGGTAAGCTGATGTTGCTGTGTTCGATTATTACCCCATGGGTGGTGACTGAGTGGTGACTGATGAAGATCGGATTTTGTTTCTGCTATCGGTCAATACATGTTCGTCCTCGGAGGTGTACTAATTCCTCCTTGATAGTATTCACACCGCTGATATTCATACTGTGTTATACTGGCACTCTGCACAGTGCATGCGTTCCGTATGCCATATAACCGTCTCTATTTCGCTCTTTTTTACGGCTCTCATCGTCTCGTAAGTAGAAGAAACGAGATCGCGAGTAGGTTTGTGTATACCTTTGCATTTCTGTGTTAGCTCATAGCCATCTGTTAGAGTGCTGGTCTACACCTTTTCAATCTCAAATTCAACAATCGAAAGAACAAATTAGATGAATGAAATTTGATTTTCGACAAGTGAAAGGAGTTTTTCACGAAATGAAAGTTCAAATTCGAAATGAAAGTTCGATTTTCGTGGACCGGTTGAAAATGAAAGTTCAAATTCGTAGATGAAATTTATAAATTCGAAAACGCAAATTCAAATTCGTCGAACACAAGACAAATTTCGACAAATTCGTGTTCCATGATGTGTATCACCACTTAACAGCTCGACGATGAAGAACTTCTACGACAATGTGGTGAAATATATAATAATGTTCCCGAGGGGAACTCATTTTCAATTTCCGACGTATGGCTAGGAACACATTCTTCAATCAGTTTCCCACGTGAATTTCATCATCGCATTAGGAGCATTTCCCCCATTGCTACCAAACCCTGGGGAACGTTATTTCTCAATGCTAGATGTGTCTCTGATATGGAGTTAACTAATTGTTAGAGATGTTAGAGCGCGGCAATGTTTATGCGTACATATTATGTTGATCGATCATTACCAGTTAGCTATTCTGTCAAGGTTCCCTTTTCCCCGTATATCGATTGATCTGTCCTGTTCGTCAATTGCAGGCTGGCCTTCCATCATCGGTTGTTCTCTACAATTCTATCAACAGTGAGAGTTTCACTCGCGGGTGTGAATCTCGCGCGAAAAAAACGAGATTTACATGGAATAAGTCGTGATAATGGTAGACTTCAGTGAAAAGACTAGTTTAGAACACGTATTACCCGTCGGCGCCATTTTTCGCGTGAAAGGCTGTGATGTATCCACACAATTGTTGTCTCCTTCCTTCCCACCTTAGCTCGCACAATTTGTCTCTACATTTATTCCGCTGTAGTTAGTACTGTTATCTACCTCTTTTGGTACTCTCGAGGTCCCAAGTACACAACACGTGGTGCCCAGACAATGGTCAATGGTCAAGAAGAGAACCCCGCTGAGAACAACCAGAACGGTACTGATGGTGGACCTACTGAAGATCAACATGTGCGAGAAGATGAGGTGCAACAAAGTTTACAACAATGTGAAGAGCAACAACGTCAACATGAAGGAGAGAGAAGAAGCCTACAAGAAGCGGGCAACTTAGAACAAGACCTATCAATGGAACAGCAGAGAGTCAGAGAGTTGGATGAGAACGTCCAATCTCAGTTGATAGAGTTTCAAAATGAGATCCTGAAAATGAAGAATAGCAAAAATAGTGCATCTTCAGAAATGGGAGGGACGATGGCCATTACTAAAGCTATTGTCCCGTATAACCCGAAATCTCAGACTTTTGAGGAGTGGCGGTCGAAATTTAAGGGTCGAGCACGACTACTAAGATTGCCTTATCAGGAACTCCTTGAATTTACGGGGCTTTGTCTCACAGATAAACCATGGGAGCTGTACAGCAGAAGACTAAATCACGATCCTAATGAGACCCCTGATAGGACGTACTATGGCATCATCGCTGAAATGATCAAACAATATAGCGAGACCCCAAAGCATGCGTTTAGTACGTTGTGCAAAACGAGATATAGAAAGGATGTGCTCAGACATTCTACTCAGATACATAGGTTGACTAACCTTGCCTTTCCTAAGTTGCCTGCGGAAGCAAGAGATCAGATATGTGTGCAAGTGTTTTGTAAGAGTTCGCCACAATCAAAAATTGTTGAAGGTTAATATAATACCTTCATGAAACTAGCCAAACAAACTTTAACGGAGTCAGAACATGACCTAGAACATCGTGATTCACGATTCGTGAAATTGGTGTAGCTCACGTTTTACGCTCAAGAGGAACGAGAGAAACAACCTCTCTCTGTTGGGTAGGACCCGATCCATACCAGGGACTGACGTGTATGGATGTCAATGAGACCTCCCTCCACGGTGGAGGCTCCACCTTCTACGCATTCACCGACCCATCGGCCGCATAATAACTGAAAGCGAAATACGTTCGACAATCTTGGCTGTATCGGAGATTGTAGTATGCACTTCGGATATCCACGATGTTAGAGCGCGGCGATGTATATGCGTACATATTATGTTGATCGATCATTACCAGTTAGCTATTCTGTCAAGGTTTCCTTTTCCCCGTATATCGATTGATCTGTCCTGTTCGTCAATTGCAGGCCGGCCTTCCATCGTTGGTTGTTCTCTACAATTCTATCAACAGTGAGAATTTATATGTACTATATTTTAGTTTTTGATCGTATTGCTGTTTCGAAGAGCGCGATGTTGTGCGGGAGTGGTAACAGTGTGTGTGTGTAAGGCTCTTGGTGTGATGACGGATTCTCCATTTAAGGTTGAGGATTTGCTAGGTGACGTCATGGGGACTATAGGGGGGGTATTCGACTTTGGCAGATTCCCTAAAGACAGTTGAAGGTCTGGTTACCTTCGACGAACAGTTGGAAGAGGTCGTGGGCTTTGGTTTGGATAAGAACTCCTTCAAGGCTATCATGGAAGCACTTGCGAAGTAGGTTGTCGTGGATACTCTATTATAGGCTGCAACCACACATCATGCCCTCTTCACAAGTCGCGCGCGTTCACTCGGGTGTGGTATTAGTAATATAGATAACTGGTAAATTATTACTATGATATTAAGTGTATGGTAGTACTATAATATTTGAACGTAGTGTTTATATTCGTGCTATGGACAATGATAAATTTTTGTTATATATATACGAACTACTAAGTGACGAAAAAACCCGTGATTAGTACTTTCGAAGCTGCTGCTGAGTTCGCAACCATGCTGGCTGTATAAAAAAATTGGTGACGATTTTGACTTGGCAGAATCGTACTGGGGGTTGTGGTTAACCAAGCTATACCATTGTGGACACATTAGAAGCTACCAGTGAGTGCTGGAGTAATGAGAGAGCACTCTAGGATATCGTTTTAAGAGCCTTGGGTCGGTGTGGGAAGATATGCACATGATCTACTACGTGTATTGGTGACAACATGGAAACTCGGGGAAAATTCCAACTGGTTTCTGTGCACTCGTGTGTAAACTTCCGAGTTCAGCAGAGAAAAGCGACCGTATGTTCCAACACTGCTTATCAGGTTGTTCCGTTCGCTAC